CATCCATTCCTCCCCGTTGTCGGCATCTTGCCTATCGCAGCCGGGGCTTTTTAGGACGAGGCCTCAGTGTGGTAGTCCCGTCCCCGTGATGTATTTTCCGGCAGGATCTGGCTGGACGAAATCAAATGCAAATCACAAAATATTAGAGAAACTTAGTTGTTTTAGATTCGTTAGTAGTAGTTGTGGTAGGAGTGTGGATCTATCTAATCCATCTATCTTATCAACACAGTAAGCTTGCCAGCTAATATGCTAACCTAGCTTTCTTGTTTACCTTAGCTAACACGATATGAACGGTAGCTCGGAGGAACGGCAACTATAATGTAGTGTAATAAAACTACTATGAACAAAAGCTAGTGGTTCATATTAGGCTAGCAATAACGTGTTTATAATTGCAATCTTATACGGGTAGTCTGCTACGTTCGGTCATTCATTGTAACTGGCATGAATAAAAAAAATTCCGCTAGCATGTATAGCTAGCCTTGTTAGCTATACATGCAGTATGTACATGTACTGTCACAATGTACGTTAATCACCCGGAGTATACTGTATGAGTATTCCGTGTGTGACTGCAGACATTCTCCTGCCATGACAAACATGTAAGGCCATCTGCTGACATTGTAGTTGATATATTTAAACGCTAGCAACGTCGTTAGCCCAGTAAGCTGGGCTTGTTTAGTGTAATAAAACCACTATGAACAAAAGCTAGTGATTCATATTAGGTTAGCAAGAACGTGTTTACAATTGCAATCTTATACGGGTAGTCTGCTACATTCATTGTAGCTGGCATAACAAAAATGTTTTCACGAGCAAACCCATGTCTAGCTCCGTTGGTTAGCTCGGTAGCATACACGCTACGCCAGCTATAATGTAATTACGTTTCGCGACTGACCGTACGGCAAATCACCCGGAGTATACTGTCTATGAGTATTTCGTGTGTGAATGCAGACATTCTCCTGCTATGAGATACATGTATGCAAGGCCATCTGCTGATATTAGAGTTGATATATGGAAACGCTAGCAACTTAGTTAGCACAGTTAGCACTGTGTCAATGGCTTAGCAGTCCGACACAGTTTACACATTTAAACAGTCTTGTTTGATAAATACACAAATAACAATGCAAACTTACAGGTTGTGTACCCGAATCTTCCCCTGCTCCAAACGGTCCAAACAAACTAGGAATAGCATCGTCCTTCAGTTTCAAATGCTGTGCATATCCGGCCTCAAACTGGGCAATGTTTTGGAAGCTTTCGTCTGTGAAATGCCGCGCACACAGTAACGTTCTTCGAACCTCTGAAGGAACAGTGTTAAAAAGACATTTCAACCACTGACTTCGTCGTGGTTCTTCCGTCAGTAGGACAAACAGCTCAGATTTCTCCTCACATTTCAGGAAACAGGTCCTTGGCATTGGCATGACTGGATCGATTGTGAACTGAACCAGAGCTCCCAACAGTAAATGTTAGGCTGGCAGAGGGTGCGGCCAGCGCCGCTGGGTGTGGCCATAGCTCTTCCGGATTGGTCCATTTTGTTCCGGGTACCGCATGACATCATGCGGTACCCGGAAGAATCAAATGGGCAGTGACGTATCTCCAGAGATGGGGTCGTTACTAAAAAAAAGTAATATATTACATATTACATATTACTTTAAAAAAAAGTAATATATTACACTACTTCGTTACTCTCTACATAAAGTAACTCGTTACTTTACTCGTTACTTTACTCGTTACTTTACTCGTTACTTTACTTGCAGGGCCGGCCCGCCCCTCCCTACAGGCAGATCACGCAGACTGCTAAAGTTTCAAATGTTCTCTTTAGTTCAGTTTCCATTGTCGCATAAGACTGATCCAGATAGCTCTGACTATGGCTGTCCTCTGTCTCCTGCTATCTGTATTTTGCGCAGTATATCTCTGAACGATGCGATGGTGATTCCACTGTGCAAATGGGCAACATTACCTCTACTATGAAGGATGCTACAAGCCTGTCCATCTCTGCTTTGGTTACCGGTCCTCCAAATTCTAATTGGTGCCGCTTCGGAGTCGGCGGCGGCGCACTCACAACATCCTCACTCTGGGTTCGGGGGTCCTTAGCTATTAGCTTCACCTTAGCATGTGTTCTTTGCAGGTGTTTGTTGAGGTTTGACGTGGTGTTTACAGCAGTGGATAACAGCTTCTGGCCTGGACACAGTTTGCACCTCACCGTCACATTCCTGTCTATTCTTCGGACAAACTCAAAATAATGGGCATACCTCCACCCCTCGAAAGTTATCGCTGACTCAGCCATGTTTATGCAGCACTGCACGTGGAGATGTGCAAGTCGCGCAGATTACGTACATATAAACCTGCGGCGGAAACCCCTCTTGTCTGTCAGTGTGATGACTGATTTTATAAAAGTAACGAAGTAACGCGTGTCGGGGCAATGTTAGTAACTGTAGTGTGATTACTGAATTATAAAAGTAACGCGTTACACTACTCCGTTACCGACAAAAGTAATATTATTACAGTAACGCGTTACACCCAACTCTGCGTATCTCCAACGAGGCGTTTTGGGGAGGTATTTTCTGTGTTAGAGTTTTACTCGCTACAGGGTGTACTTTGAGGGTTTTGACTCTGCACACCGTTTACATGCATAAAAACCTTCATAACACAAAGGGGGCGGGTAATAACCGGAAAAGCATGACATGGGCCCTTTAAATAAGATGGCTACTCCCCTTTTTTTTCCTGTTCCCACATGATGCACTATAGACCTGGTCAACCCACTCTCTCTTTAACTTTAAGTGCTCTATTTCGGTTAGGTGAGCTTCCTGAATCAGAGCTACAGAACATTCCAGCTTCTTTAATTGTCCCAGGATATTTTTCCTGTATATATATATTGAACTGAACTTCCACCTGTCCAATCAGCCACAGCAGTTGAACCTCAGCTGTGCCCGATCCCCGTTGGCTTTTTGGCAGAGAGGTGTGACCTACCCTCTCAGTGGGAAAAAGCACATAAGTGCAAACATGACCAAAAACACATTAATCCACTCATTCCGAACTCAACCGCCAGAACTTAAGAAATGGTTTATAGTATTTTAGAATAACCTATGAGAACAACCTATTTTGTAGTATTTATATAAGGAACAACTACCTTATATATCTGTCACAGTCTGCTCCATCATTCACCAGTAGTTTTCCATTCACCCGTCTCACCTGTTAACCACACCCACGTTTTTGCTCACTCTCTTTCTCTTCTGCACCCATTAGCTTTACTGCCAGTATTTAAACCCTCACCAGACACACACCCATTGCCAGATCGTACTTTGCCTTCATGCTAGTCTTTCACGCGTTTGTTCCCAGATTGCCCACCCGGTTCCGACCCTGCCTGTCCCTGACCTGCCTGCTCTGCCTGTTCCCTGATCCTGTCTGTCCTTGGACTATCCTGCCTTGCCTGCTGTCTGACCCTGCCTGTACCTACGTTGACCGCCTTGCCTGCTCCCTGACCCTCTGCCCGGCCCTGACTCACCTTCTGCCCGCTGTCCTCTGGTTCGTCGGCCTGCACATCATCCGGCTGATACTGTTCTGCTGGTATTCCTCTGCTCTGGTATTATTACCAATAAAGTACATTACTAATACTCCTTGGTTTCTCGAGTGCTGCATTTGGGTCCTTCATAAGATTGTGACAATATCTTATATTCACTATATATTTGTTACCATTACTGTATGTACAACAGAGCTAACTCTGACTTTCTTCGTCTTCCCGCTGCTCCTCCATCCTTCCTTTAACTCCTCCTCAGTGCATTCCTTTTCTCCATGCGCACCTCGATTCCCAGGTCTTTCGGCAGCGCTGCAGCGCTCGCCAGCGTGGAGTAGGTATTCTCCCCCGTGCTCAGCTTGAGTTTTAACTGCGCTGGGTATTAGCACTTTGCCTGTATTTCCTTCCTTTTAAGCTTGATGACTGCATGTACTTTAGCCCTCTTCTTGTGTAACTCAGGAGAGTAGTCCTGGTCAAAATATATCCTCTTATCTTGGAAGAAGACCTGTCCCTGACTCCATGCCTGTCTTATCACCATATCTTTAATCGCTGCATCTAAAAATCTCACGATGATGGGTCTGGGAGGGGCTGTGGGTCTCTGCGTGTAGACAAGGGTGACCGGTGTTCTCTCTCAATCTTAATGTCCATTTGTGGCTGTATTTTAAGCACCTTGTGTAATAGTTCTTTAATGAATTCAACCATGTTTCCTCCCTCACTCCCCTCTGGTACCTTAAAGATTCTCACGTTGTTCCTTCTCAGTCTATTTTGGAGATCGTTGCAGGCGGCTGTAAAGGCAATGTCACAGTGTAGCAGGTATCGTAGCGCCCTGTGTTGCCGCCCCGCTACATCTTCCGCCATGCCAACTCTGTCCTCCAACTTTCCGATCCTCCCTTCATGTTCGCCCATTTGGACTTTTATATCCAGTCCAGCCTGTTCTTATCGCCAAAGAGTTCTTTTTGTTTGATTATGGTAGGTTCTCCTTACGTAGTTTCCCGAATACCTCCAGCAACGTTACTTCATGGTCCGGCTCGCAAATGTTGCTATCACTTTTTAAGCTAACGTTAGCTGGGCTAGCTGGTCTCCACTGTTTATCACTTTTTTCCTTCGAAACGTCCCGTTTGCAGGGACCTTTGTTTCTGGTTGACGAGCTCATCATGTAGGAGTGCTCTTTTTTGCATTAAAAACGTATAATATCTCTAGTTGTCTCTATTTTTGTATAACTTCTGACGGAGCTCCACTTCTAAGCTGCTGCTTTTTTCAAGATGTTCCCGGAAGTCCCTGTACTTCATTAGTTTGACATGCCTCGGTGTCACCGCCACCATCCAAAGTAATACAAAGGGAAGAAACTATAAAAGGTAACAAATATTATAAATAAATACAACTGTGTTCATTTTATTTTTCTCTAAAAAGTATTTAAAACATTTGAAAGTGTTTATTTGAAGAAATAAACTTCTGATCTAAATGAGTTTATAAAGTTAATAACATTTGGACTCACACAGCCTTCCTGCAGTTCCTCACAGCTAGAATCAGTCTCCGTCGTCCCTCATCTGAAATGAAATAAAATATTCTAATGTCTATGCTTTTCAACAAAATATTAAACCCAACAAAAAATTCAACAAGAAAAATCCTGGACGTGAAGACACTAGTAGGAGCCTGACATCTTCCGTCCAGAAACAGCACTTTCTATGAAAAAATATTGCTGTTCCTCAAAAATTATTTTAACACAAAATTTAAAAAAAGACAACAAGAAGAAGATTCGATGGTTCGATGCATTCATAAAAGTTGCCACAATGCAGACACCCAGCGCCCAGACGGCGGTAAAGATGCTGAACGTGTTCGGCCTCTTACTTTGTACAATGCACTGGGGACAGCAGGAGTCTCGTGATGGAGGTAGCTGCTCCCAGTATGAGGTGATGCACTGTCTGCAGAACCCGTGTCCACAGCTGGTAGAGACTGGATCCTTCAGGACGTCCTGACACAGAGCACAGCTGGACAGCTGCTGCTCCACAGGAACAGGACTCTTCCTCTTCCTTCTGTGGAGATGAACACATCCTTTAAAGCACTTTACATTAGTTTTCCCTAATTGCTAAAATCCACATTATAGCTATGTATTTAGGATTCTAATCACAGAATCAAGATCTTTGGGAATATATTGTTAGTCTAATGTCTGTTTAACCGAATTTTGGACTTGCTCTGAACTTTCTGTTTTTGAGACGTGCTTAACAGATTTAACACAAAGTCTTAAATGTCAAATGTGAAAATGATTTTACCAAAGTAGATTATTTACTATCGCTGGTAAAACCATTGAGCACAGCAATAGATCAATTCAACTTCTTTACTGTAATCAACTGTGTTTCTTTATTGTACTCTACAGTGTTTACTTTACTGTAAGAATGTTGTTATTAAAGAACAGTTCAGATTATCAGATAACATAAAAGCTGAATCCTCTTCAGGTCAGGTTACAGTAGAAACTCTTACTTCCTCTCTGAGGGTCCAGCTTCATCTCTGAAGTCTGGAGGTTTCCTTTTAGACCGCTCACTCAGACAGCTGGAGACTGAGAATTTGTCCTCTTCCTCGTCTTTTAAATCACTCATCACTCCAGTCTGAGAGAAAAAACAGGTCTCACACACACACACACACACACACACACACACACACACACACACACACACCACACACACACACACACACACACACACACACACACACACACACACACACACACACACCACACCCACACACACACACACACACACACACACACACACACACACACACACACACACACCACACACACCACACACACACACACACACACACAACACACAACACACACACACACACACACCACCCACACACACACACACACACACACACACACACACACACACACACACACACACACACTTTTCAATCAAAATCATCATAATGATAAACTTTGGTAACAATACAACAAATCCGTCAGACTTCAGACAGGCTGCTCTCCATTTTGACTGCGTTGTGCTGCTACATGTAACATGTTATGTTGCTTTGATGACTCACAAACCAGGAAATGCAAAAGTTTACAACATTTGAAGATATCACCTTGGACGCCAAGGTTTTTATAGAAGATTTTATAGAATATGTATTTTCTGACATACAGTTCAACAGAATAAATAGTTCATGTGTTAAAAAAGAACAGCAGAGCCTGATTTTGACACTCACCCTGTTTTTCTCCTCCTGCTCTGACGAAGTGTAAAATGGAGTCTGGCAGTCTGACTTCCTACTTTCACACCACACCCTCACCTGTCTGCAGCTCCTCCCTTGTTTCATAACCAGCCTCGTCACCTGAATGTGTACATATACAGGGATTTTATTTTTATGTTCAGCTGCTCTCAGAGTAAAACAGTTCCAAGTACACATGTCAGTAAAACAGAAATAGACATGCAGCTAAAAACAAGCACAACGAAGTTATTTAAATAAACATAATACCACAGAATGAAAACATCCCAGTACAAGTAAACATCCTGCATTCAAACCCTGTGCAGTATGGTTCATATTTTATATAATGTTTGTGGATTCATGTTACTGCTGCGTTAATGTGTATGATGCATTTTATTGCTCTAGATGTTTTTATTTTTAAGATAACCATTGGCTTGTTTAATCTACAGCAATGCATCATATTATATAAAATCATCAAATGTTTGTAGCTCTGTCTTGTGAGAACATCTCACAATTATTTCAGAAGAAAATGCATTTTTTTTCCAGCTTTGTTGTGATGCATTTTCCAGCTGATCCAAGAGGCTTTTTAAAGAATTTACTTAGATTAAGAAGAAGGAGCATTTTCACAGCACATGAATGAATACATAATTCTTAAATTAATCACAACCATTCAAAGTCCTCTGGAGATAAGTGTTTTTCACTGGACAGGAAGGGAATGAGAAAATGGAATCTGAAAATGTATGTAAGTAAAAAGAATACAATACTTACCTTTGAGATGTAGTGGAGTACAATAGTGGATAGTAACCCTGTTAAATATGTATTAAAGAGAACTGGATACTCCGTTCATTCCTGTGAAAGTTTCTCAGTGGCGAATGAAGCCCGAAGTGGAGCGACTGTAGCTTCAGAAAGTACCCGGACGTGGGCCCATAGAGCATGCGCAGTGGAGTATCCCTTAAAGCCCCGCCTCTGATCTCCCGCTCTCTGTCAGTCAGATGAACGGAGAGAGAAAATAACTCAGATTCAGATTTTAGAACATTTTACAGCTTTTAGCCCCTCATGATTTAAATAAGGACTACAGAAGTGTTCGTGCTGGGTAGTTTATTTAGCTCAAAAAATAAATGATATGCTGATTTACCGACGTAACTGACGCTGTAATACCACCGTTTGGCCGCAACGGACATTCCAAATATGGGCTTCAACGGCCGGCGCAGTGCGCACATCCGGGAGTTTGATCGAAAGCCGACAGCCTGTTTTAAAAACCGTTAAACTCCAACAAGAAATACTAACGGCTCCGAGGATTCAAAGATGATTAAATTACTAACAAGCACTTCGAGGTCTGGAGAAATACAAAAGCCCGGTGTCAGTAACTCTATTCATTGTAAAATACAACTATTATCAAAGTAACCTGACAGTAAACAGGCTAATAAAACTGCTAATAAACTTTAGCTGAACTAAATAACCATTAACTGACCAACGGTTAAACTTTGACCCGAATACAATGTTTCAATCAATATTAACACATTTAAAAAAAGTCAATATTGACAAATATATCTCAGAACATATCAATAATTACTCTGAATGTCAATATAAATACTTTCTCTTTATATCGATAGGTTTATTTCTCACTCACCTGGGGCCTCATTTATAACGCCTTGCGTAGGATTGACGTGGGAAGGTTGCTTACGTAGTACAAAGTAAAAAAATAGGTACATACATTTTCCGCCATTTTCCGATTCACAAAACATTGCGTACCGACGAGGGAAGTGCGTACGGCACTTCCTACGCCTGTTTCCCTTTATAAATCACAATCGACTCGTAATGCCCATATTTGCCTATAAATAGTCAAAGAAACGCCCATTCATTCATTCATTCTGACTGACTGCATGAAGAAGATCGCAGGAAATGACGATAGAACAGCTAAAAAAGACATCTCACACCGCGTCAGATTTAGGTTCTTGTGGGGAGGTCGAGATAAATCATATTGTTTGGTGGATGCAGTTTGAACCAGAGTAGCAGCATGGAGGTCGGATCGTCACCAAAATAAATAAAGTGGTCCGAAAAAAGTTAATGACAAAAAAAATACACATAACCTTCCTCAGGCAGTAGGCTTGTTTGAGACAAGCGAGACCTGCGCAGACCTGCGCAATTGCGATCAACATCTTGCTAGTGCGTTGCATGATTGGGGGTGTTTCTCAATCGAGAGTAAAGCTGCTTCAGAGCCACTATTTCAAGCATACGACGTCATCGAGTGCCGCCGAAGTACTGTTCCAATCTCCAGTATACTTGGAAATCTACCGAGCCCGGCGTACTCCGTTTGGAGAAATATCGAGTCTGCACATGAGTAGACTTCGCGGTCTTAAAATCCCCACAATGCTTTGCGCACGGACCAATTTCCCCAAATCTGTGGCGGAAGATGTAAGGCGGGGCCTCTCATATGACGCACACCTGCACACTTGCTAGCGTGTTCCACACTTCGTTTTCCGAATGCCAGGAAGTATTCTTGACTCGCTTCTGAAGCAAGATGCTCGGCAGACATGTGCTACCAAGCAAGCGTACTCGCGATTGAGAAACACCCGGTTAGTCATTTTGTCCGACTTGCTCTGGAGGCTCGCCTACATGAGACGTTGAAATCTCGCGGGACAAAGACGCCCGCAGACTTGAGAGCGAGGCGGCGCAGTTTCTCTCCACGGGCTGCGGAAGCGAAATGCTTGATGGGAAACGACTTGCTGGTATCTCGAGCTGAGCGCTCATTGGTGGGTTTTACCCCGTGCTGGGGATGAAACTCTCCATTGGCTCGGCAAAAGTGTGTTGTTGTTTTGTGTCAGTTTTACGTCGCCACTTCCATTCACATTTTTCATCATTGTTCCACAATGTTTATCATCATGAAATTAATATCTATATATTTGTATATACTTGCACTGCTTACCGTTGTCATACTTTATATATCTTAGCATATTCATACAACACACTGTTAATACTAGGCTAGGCTACTGTGTATATAGTGTATTCATACCCCTCACTGTTTATTCATCATTCAATTCATTCTATATTTTATTCTGTAGATTGTGTACATTACTTTTCACTTTACTGCTTTATGCACTCCTGGTTAGAAGCTAAACTGCATTTCGTTGTCTCAGTACCTGTAATCTGTGCAATAACAATAAAGTTGAATCTAATCTTGAGCAGGAACAAATATATTTACTTAGTACATATCTGACATTAACGATTAAACACATTTGTCCAATCTTTATCAATCAATCAATCAATGTTTATTTATATAGCCCAATATCACAAATGTTACATTTGTCTCAGTGGACTTCACAGTTTGTACAGAATATCAGAATGACAATACGACACCTTCTGTCCTTACGTTTCACATCATACAAGGAAACACTTCCAGAGAAAAACCCACAGTTTAAAGGGGAAATGGGAGAAACCTCAGGGAGAGCAACAGAGGAGGGATCCCTCTCCCAGGACGGACCATGGATGTATAATAAGAACTGGATACAGCGTGGGAGGCGGGGCCTCATTCATTCCTATGAGAGTTGCTCATTCGCGCATGATGATAAAATGGCCCAACTTTTGAGAGAGCGAAACGTCACAGATTACCCGGCATGCCTGAGAAGTACCCGTATGTGCGCTCATAGCGCATGCGCAACTTTAACCATGCCTCCCAAAATGCTCGTTCACATCAAGCACGTCAATTTGCGTACACGTAACAGCACTGCACGTTCATGACAGCATGGTAATGGTTTGTTATTATGATAGATTTGATATTAACGAGGCGGCAGTTAGCAGCTAGCGGTTAGCTAGTAATTATGCTAATTTACACATCAATCGTTATGTACTTTTATATTACGCTGTAACAGGATCTAGTGATATCCAAGCAACAGAGCTTCATTTAGCATGAAAGAATTATTGCACTGTATATATATATACAGTGCAAAAAGCTTCTTAGTGCAATAAGAAGCTACAGGGACGTTAATCTACGTCGGTAATATTAATTTTATTTAATACAACATTTACGGTACAAGATTTAATCATACAGCCTGTTTGATGTTCTTATAAACGAGTCATGTTTATCATAGAACTTGGTTTAATAACCTATTAGTGACGGAGCAACATTATATCCACATGGCTGTTATCATCACAATACACGAACCCCGCCTGTAGATCCCTACCACCGGTACGGTGTCTGCAGAAGGACAACAGAGACCAAATGCGAATACTCTACACAGCCCATGTAGTATAATATTTTACAAATGAATTACAGCAAACATGTGCAATATATCCATTATTACAGCTCCGTGGGCTGGCAGTAAGGCGATATGGGTCCGTGCTTATTGTACATCCATGGGTAAAGATAAACGCATGTAGTGCTGAACACGTAACATGAACGTGCCGGGCGGCGCGGTCCCATGGGTTAGATGCGCGTTCATAATACAGGGAGGGAAATAACTCTCAGAATAACGTTATTAGCACATTTTTACAACTTAAGGAACGAATGTTTTTAATAAGGGCTATACAAGTGTTCATACTGGGTAGTTTATTTAGTTTAAAAAAAATTATCCAACGAGTTACAGACCACTCTTTCCCCATGTAAGTCAATGGGAAAAAGTGTTTCCGGGCCTGGCAACCAAAAGGAAGTGTAGTACCGCCGTTTGGCCAGCACGAATATTTTCATCAGAGTCCGGCGCACTTCCTGGGGGCTTGCTTGGGACGGACAGACGTGCAATAGATGCCGTGTGCATTTATAAATGCAAACCGAGTCAAGCCGACTCCGGAGGTGGCAGTATGCACCTTAAAGTTGTTTGAAATCCGCCAAAAAACCGAGAGAAGAAGAAGAAGAAGAAGAAGCCGACTCCGAGCTGTCCGACTTCAGGCGAGCTTTTTGAGACCTCCCCCGGCTGCGATCGGCTATTCTCGTCTACTTTCGAGGCGAGCCGCAGCTCGTCTCAAACAAGCCTACTGTGTTTGTCCCGGGGACAGGAGACACCCGCTTGATGAGAAACTCTAAGAAATGATGGGGGGATCCCTCCGGAGTGGAGTCATGACCAGTGGCAACTGGTCATTAGGGGCAGGTGGGGCACAGCCCCACCTAGTGTCAGCAGAAAGTATTACAAATAATGATTACAAAAATGCAAAAAAATAAATAAAAAAATATATAAAATATATTTTAAGATCATGTTTAATCATCTGATTCGTCTGTACATTGCTGTTTTAGTCTGTGTTCTTCTAATTAGTGTGTCTACAGTCACAGTGTGTGCCTATTGAGCTGTTTAGAGCCATGTGGGACAAAACCTGATTATGCCCCTTCCTCTCGCTGTGAAGTCAACGGTGACTGTAAAAACTTCACTGCGCATGCTCAGAGTATTTTGTAATGAAATGTGTGTGGCAAAAAAATAATGACCAGAGGGGCATGGAGCTACCATCCCCACCATACGTCATCTCAAATTATTCAGAGCTGATTGGCTGTAAGTACGTGTGCCGCGAAAAGTGTGCTGTGTGAAGAGGAGACGAGAGAGCTGCAGTGGCGCGTCCTAAAACCAGGAAGTAAGCACAAAAAAGCAATGAGATTTCTCCAGAGGATTTTAGAAAATAGCTCGAAATAAGATCTGTGGGAAACGTACCTGTTAGATAAATGCACGTTTTGATTAGCCGGATAACATCCACATGTCTACCCTACTTATATAATTTTTTTATCATAAATCTATGGATTAGATTTATGATAGACTTTTGAAACTACAAGAACATAAGGAGGACTTTTACAAAAAAGTAATAGAAATGTTTGTCCAGAAGGATAGGCAAATGGACTTCATCTTCAAGTCAAGGTAAGACCGCCATTT